TGCATAAGCAGATAGTTGTTTAGAACATTATTTTCAATTGTTTTTTCAACATAATTTAAAATATATATAATGTTCATAAAAATTCTGCCCCCCCCCCATCAACGAGTGAAAATCTCAACCCTCCGTATACATACCCTTCCCCCCACTTCTCACAAAGTTCAAAATTTTTAGATTCCATTATTTTATTTATCTAATTATTTGATGCCCCTCTTCGCCCCTATTTGACCCACAGCATTCTCTTCCTACATATCTATTTGCGATAACATTGTTCACGTAGGGCAATTGGGTCAGTACAGAATTAAACTAATTTAAAAAAATGCCAATATGAACCTATTGGATAATCAATTTTCTCCCGCCACTGCTGCCGACTTTATCGGCCTGGGCGAGAAGTCGACACTGCCGCAATCCGGCGGCGTTCCCCCTACTGATTTATTTTCCCTTTCAATACGCAAACTGTTATTTTCCTTAATTAACGGAGATTAATGTGATTAAAGCTACTAAAATTCCTTAATAATTCATAGATTTACATCCATAATCGTTTCAGGTATCACTTACCCTTTTTTACACCAAAACAAGTAGCCACCTAACAGCCACCTAACTTAAGTGGCTGCTTGCATCCCAGGGACTATAAAATTCACACTCGTCGAAATCATCATTACTCGTTAAATAAATACTATTACATTAGTCTGTGCTGTCAAGTGATGTTTACCACACGTTATAATTTGAAATATCAAACGTCCTTCGTGTGTAAATTTCGTTCTTGAGGCGAGTGTCAAGCTTATAGTCCTAGCTGATGGTGAAGTTTATGATGAATTTACGCACTTGTATCATTAGTATGATTTCAGTTCTATCCATTTTGAGATTTCATCAATGGTTTTACATGATTGAAGGCGAGATTATCAATACGTTATATCATTTTGAGTTTCTAATGAAATTGTCGTTGCGAAAAATATTTGCTCTGAGTATGATTCCACAACGAATCAATGCATGCATCGCAAGATACACTTGACTGGTGTATTTATCTCTTACATTATACTTTTTTACTTTTGGAGGCTGAAACTACACAGAAGTTTTCAACAAGTTCCATTTACAGTTAAATTCCAGGAAATCTTGTCATCACATAAAAAACTGATATTCCAGTTCCATTATTCGTGGAAAATTTCGAAAAATTAGGGAAATGCACGTAAATAGTTTTGATAGTGCTGAATATGTTTTATTAAAAATTCAAGAAAATTAATTTGATTTTAAAGAATTTATTTCTACCGAAAAATTTTAAATTCACTTGAATTTTACCTAAATTTTGAAATTGCACAATTCTTTTTCCTTTAAATAAAATTTAGTATTACTTTCCTGAAAATTACTACCAGATTTTCCATGAAAATTCCATTTTTTCAAGTATGATCGAAGTTATTTTAAACTACTTCATGTGTTTGGGTACAACTTGTTCAAGTTAGCTTCAAAACATGGGTATCAAAACATTTGTAACCAATACATGGTTATCTTCACTATGGGAAAATTGAAGTATGAATTTGTAATAGAAATTTTCTCGCATATATATTTGGAAACGTATTTTGTCGAAGATAACAAGTCAAGCCTGCCACAATTTGTGAAGCAACCATTCAATTGTTTTTCGATTATTATTTTTTATGGGATTGTAAAAATTGCCTATTTATTGTAATTCATTCATTATGGTATCACTCATGACTGATAATGTTGGCAACAAAAATTGTTCTAGAGTTTCGTTGCGTTACTAGTCTGATGAAATGTGACATGAATTTTTTTTTATTGATATGAAATTTTGAACTCAATTTTAATGTTGAAAACAACTGTTAAATTCGAATATTTTTTCAATTCTGTAATTAACTGGTGGAATACGATAAGTGAATTAGACATTATCTAATTTTTGAACAACATTTCTGCAGATACTTTTTTGGTAGGGCAAAGTAAGATGTACGTAAAAAACATCAATAGAATACTCATATTTCTCTTATTCGAGATAGGGTTATTACATTGGAAAAAGTCTTTTTGAGTCATCTCAATATGTCACGGGCTTTGACAAATTCTGACAATGGACCCAAAACTTTTATAAAATTGCATAAGGCTTTTCTAATAGAGTTGTCAATTATTCTTGTTGTAATTTAAGTTGCGATTGATTTGATTTTTTTTTTTCGCTTCAACGATATTCTTTATCTCTGATTGTTCTTTCGCAGTCAAGGTTGAGAATATTTTCTCAAGATTCAGATAGATACAGAAAAATAAGTATCGAAATGTTATCAGATTATTGTGCTTTGTGTGCAGGAAAAAATTACTAACAACTGCCCAGTATATTTACAAAACTCTATTCCAAGAGGAAAAGGCCAGTGACATAACAGTTTTCATCCTGGGAAAACCATGGAGATTACACAAAGTTTACATAAGTCAAGTAGGTATTGTTCTTCAATTATTTTATTACAATAATCTTATGCATGAAGAATTCTTCATTTGAGTTTTTAAGGATGTATTACACCCTTTTCGCCAAAATTCACGTTTTTTGAATTTTTCTGGCAAATTGTTGATCGGATTGACGTGAAAAAATATGCCGTTTTTGTGTTTTATCATTACTTAATGACTCACGAAATTTCATGAGCGTGCAATCATTTTCCTGCGTTTTTTCTAAAAGTTTTCGGAAATTTACAAAACTTTAGAAAAAATCCAGGAAAATGATTACACTACCATGAAACTTCGTGAGTCAGTCAACAATGATAAAACGCTAAAACGGTATATTATTTCGCGTCAATCCGATCAATAATTTGCCAGAAAAATAAAAAAAACGTGAATTTTGGCCGAAAGCGTGTAGTACATCCTTAAGCCGAATGTGAGAAAGTCCATACAGAACAATCTTTTAAATTTAGAATATTTTTTTGAGTCTCTAGCAGACAATAGACTTTGAGACTCCGAGGATAAGGGAATTTCCGCTGGGAACCATTGATTTTTTACCCTTTTCGATTAAAAGCTCGTAAAGTTTTAAAGCGAAGAAGTTAGGTGGGTCGTCTGCTAGCGTTTTCTAACCGAAAGTTCTCTGACTATTCGATTGAACTGTTTTCAGATCCTTTCTTTCCATATTATGATATCGAATAACATCGTATAGAATATTACCTTCCATATAACAAAATGTTTTTCAGAGTCCCTACTTTGCGAGCATGTTTTCTGGCTCTTGGAAAGAGGCAAACCAGAAAGTTGTGCACGTGCAACTCGCTGATCCCAATATAACATTAGAATGTGAGTAAATATAAAATAAATTTGAATAATAAGGGATTAAAAATTGATATTATAGTGGAAGACAGATAGAAAATTACTATTGTGGAGGAGGTCTTCAGTTGAGTGGCGCTTCTGTAATATTCAAAAGTGAAAGTGATTCTTTCCTGGGATCCACACACTGATCTCTATATAACTGGATAGCCGATCCCTATGGCAGCCAGTGAGTTTATTAGAGAGGTACGCAGCGCCTCCGGATAGTAGTCAGCGAACTAAGATTCTCTCTAGTGCGCATGTCCGTGTCAGCTGCAGGTAGTGGAGCAGTGGTAAATTTACCGAGAGCATTGGGAAATATTATAGTCCAGTCAAATTAGATTTTTAACATCGAAATTAACCAAAGGGCACCAAATTACACCAATCGATAGCTAAAAGTGTAATTATTAATGTTTTAAAAAGTATATGCTCAAATTTGCCGGGGTGATTCACAATTTGTTATAAACAATTGGGAATTGCCGACAGGCCGTCTTCAATCCTAGATATCTTTAGTTAACCTCATCAGATGGGAAAAGAAAAAATATTTCTTTGTAGCTGAGAAAATGTCCTATCGGGGGGAGTTAGGAACTTATAGCCCAAAATGTACCGTTAATTTATTATAAATTATAATAGCAATTTCGGAGCAGTCGGCGCAACGCGTCAGCTGTTACCCTCCCTACGACAGTGCCATGAGTCACGTGATTGGCGCCATGCGCAACTTATTCAAACCTCCTGGTGCGCTCAACGCAATAGCCCTCAGCTGGATTTTTTATGAATATCTCTGAATCTGCGGCTAGTAGTCAAATTTTCATTATAAACTTTTTTGTAGATCTTTATTTGCTCTATAAAAACTTGATCAATAATAAGTGAAATTGTCCGCCGACAATTCAGTAGCGAAATTTTCAATTTTATTTTGACTATTTTTTATTTTTCATTGAATATCTCGAAAACGTTGGAGAATAGCAAAATTTTTGTTAAAACCATGTTTGGTGAATGACTAGATTTAGGGTGGATGTGGGATGAAAATGTGGAGGGAGATGTTGGGAAAATTATTGATGAGCCGGATTTAAAAAATCACACTTTATTTTGTGGGATCGAACCACTTTGTCAAAAGTCTTTACACTCTTTGGAAATTTTAATAGTTGAATGTCTAATTAAATTGATGATTGTCTTTCACTGTAAATTCGTTGAGTCACTGAGTTTAGACTGAATTTAATCAACAGAGGTAATGTACTGAACAAAACGGTGATCTTACAAAGACCGGTGATGTACTTGATTACTAGTGAGCTAGGTGAGGTTCAAAGAGCTACTGTACTCGGTGAGGTGCGATATAAAACTTGTACAGGTGATTTGCCCGAGATAGACTTGTACGGTGAGAGGCTAAGCCTAAACTGATTCGCGCGTGTTTCGGTGACTTATGACTGATGACCCGAAGGGTCCCGGAGATTTTCGAAGTAGGCCGATGGTCGACCAGAATGTTCTGGAATTTTAGTTGCGTTTCAAACAAACCATTTTTTATAGAGCAAATAAAGATCTACAAAAAAATTTATGATGAAAATTTGACTACTAGCCACAGATTCAGAGATATTCATAAAAAATCCAGCTAAGGGCTATTGCGTTGAGCGCAGCAGGAGGTTTGAATAAGTTGCGCATGGCGCCAATCACGTGACTCATGGCACTGTCGTAGGGAGGGTAACAGCTGACGCGTTGCGCCGACTGCTCCGAAATTGCTATTATAATTTATAATAAATTAACGGTACATTTTGGGCTATAAGTTCCTAACTCCCCCCGATAGGACATTTTCTCAGCTACAAAGAAATATTTTTTTTTCCCATCTGATGAGGTTAACTAAAGATATCTAGGATTGAAGACGGCCTGTCGGCAATTCCCAATTGTTTATAACAAATTGTGAATGACCCCGGCAAATTTGAGCATATACTTTTTAAAACATTAATAATTACACTTCTAGCTATCGATTGGTGTAATTTGGTGCCCTTTGGTTAATTTCGATGTAAACGACATTTTCAGAGCTAGTTTGACTGGACTATTATAGGATATTTTACCGTGTAGGACATCCAGAATAACAGGCGAACTTTTGTTAATAATCAGTGAAAACTGACATTGTCTATAAACGCGAAAGGTAGCCGAAGCATGGAGGAATATCGAAATTAGTACAATTGTTATTAATATTGTATTATTAATGAATTGTATAATCGTTAATAATTGAAAAAATTGAATTTTTAAAAACTACAAAGAATCGCCAAAGAATGTTATTAGATTTTTTTAATCGTAATTTTTTGCTGGATTTAATTGACATTTTAGGTTTTTCAAAAAATCAATTTTGAAAAATCAGGATTTACCCACTGTCTTATGTCAAAGTCCATAACTTTGTTGTAGAGCAAGATTGAAATCGAAATTTTTGACTCAAAATATGAAAAAAAATCGAGAAATTTTTTGACACATGATACAATATGAATGACCGTTTTTTAAACAATATCCATTATTTATTTATAAAACGGAGATGTTTGAAAAGAAAATAATATGTTGAAAAATGTAATTCGAATGATGCTGATTGTGTATGAATTTTTTATAAATTTTCTCACGTAATTTAATGGAAAAATTTAATAATTGAAAATCTCGACATCTATAGTGTGGTCAGTATGAACTTGTAGCCTACTGATGAGCTACTTTAAGGAAATTAATGTATTCAGGAAATTGGGAAACTCAAAATAAATATTCAACTGAATTTATTCGTTCGAAATTTTTTTGTATTTATTAAACTACAATACACCTAGACTGATCGGAATTTATCGATTGAGTATACTATACTAATTTTACCTTTTTCAATTATTATTTACAATTTGGGACGGAGAATGTTTCCACGGCAATTTTCCGAGCACATGGCCCCCACTGCGTCGCGCATGCGCACTGACGTCATCTTTAGTACCTGAGCTACTATACGGCAGCGCTGGCTGACACTTCAATTCGCCTCACTTTGAGAGTGGTGGGAGCATAGGGATCAGCTATCCAGTTATATAGAGATCAGTGGATTCACATCTTACATGCGATTGACCTACTTATTCACATTTAGCCACCACTTTTTACGGTCATGCTTGGGACAAATGTATGATAAAGTATTTCATTTGGAATTATTACAGTTTACAATCACGGTCTTTAATGAATTAATTTCAAAATTGCGGCTAAGTAACCGGTTAATGAATTTAAACCTCTTTGAATCAATTCGTATATTATTATGAATATTCATGTAGATGAACAGGACTCCCCATTCGGCACCTCCCCCCTTAAGGCAAAATTTAAGTTTCATTACTTTAAGCCTTAAAGTTTAAGGTATTAAATTAAATTCAAAACAACAGCAGTAAGGTGTATATATCTGGCTTTACCAGTGTTCAGCGTTACCCACACGTATGAAAAAATCGTATACAAATTTTCTATACGGATTACGTATAGAATTTCTATAGGATTTTCGTGTATGATATTCGGATATTTCTATCCGGATATTTTTTATTCATATCATTCCTAAACGATTTCCATAAGTTTGATTCAATACGACCCACTGCCACATGTATAGAAACATTTCGTATGCAGTTGCGACATTTCTTTACGTTTTTCTCTGGAGCGTTTAGACATCTTCCGTATGAAAATAAAAATTTACTTAAAAATTTCTGCATAGAAATAATTTATATAGAAATATCCGAATAGCATATACGGAAATCCTACAGAATTTCTACAGGCAATCCGTGTAGAAAATTTCTATACGATTTTTTCATACGTGCAGGGTTCGCGACGTGGACGCAGTAGCCCTGGCGAATAAGGATCCATGTGTAGCATGGATGTAGCATGGATGTGCATGGATGTCATTTTAAGGCGAAAAATGGGCCAAAAATGATTGGAATATAATCAAAAAATTATTTAAATGCTGATAGACAAACAATTGGTCCCAATTAATACCCATTAATAGGTTATTTTGTATAATTAGGAGAAATTATTGATGGTGTGCTGTGTGGTAAAGAAGTTCAGATGGGAGAATGCCGCGAGATGGCGCCAGTGTTAAATTATCGAGTCGGCGGTAAACTGTCAGCAGTCGCAGGCATATTTTTTATTCTATTT